TTCTAAGTGTAGTTCTGCTGTGATACGTAGGATTTAGATGTATGTGTTTATTAATGGGAACAGGAAAGGATGAGGAAGAATGTAAAAACAGAAAGGCTTAAAATTTCCCCCAAAATTGGGATCAGCAGGGGCTGGACTCCCACATGCCTACCGTGGTTTGAGTCCCAGATCCAGTGGCTTGAAAGTAACATTGGACACATGTGTGTGAGTGTCCAGAGTCCCAAGAGTGGAATGGAGGAGAAGGGTCTGCAGCACGGTCATTCCCCCAGGGGTGATTTTTCATCTCTCTGTCTCTCTCGTCTCTTCGGCAAGCACATGCACCCTATAGCAAAAATCTGTTAAAAAACTTTTTCCCCAAAAATGAAGTAAATTAATTCTGAGAATAATTTATTCTAAAACTATTAACTAAATTAATAGTAACAGAAAGAGAAGAGTGTTATGTGAGCAGATGAGATGGTGGAGAATGCTAAAGGGTTCTCTTAAAAATATGTAAAATATATGAGCAAGCTGAGTGTGCTCAATTTCACACGGGATCTAGCAGATCATATTCTCTTAGAAACCCACTTTGTGCCCGTCACACCCACTTCCCAGCGCCTAACCTGTTGTCGGCGCTCAATAAATATTAAACAACCAAAGCACAAACTACTACCAAAAGGTTTGTAATTAACAGGAATCAATGATATTGTTATTATCATTTAACATTTATTGAGGGTCAACAGCATGACTTAGTCAACATGTGCGAATAGGTTATTTTATAATCACATATTAAGCAAATAAATACAGTTTGTGTTAGCCTTCAGTTTTGTTCAATTGATTTTAAATGTAAATCTTTCTCTTTCCTTTATAACTTGACACATCAGAAAATAACATTGATTATTCAGATAAATACGCTTTTCGTAAGTTAATCATTGCTCTTAAGTATTCTTCACATTCACTTGGAAGGGATAGATCTACAATAAGTACACAAATTCCAAAAGAACCAGTGCCCACACAAAGAATAGAGGACCCTGACAAGGTGGCTGAGGCCAGTGAGAAACATACAAAAGTTGTAATAGCATGTGGGGTTCACCTGTCAATGTGACAATTTAAACACTATTACAATATGTAGGATATCACTGATTACAGACAGCATCAAAGGCAAGGCAGAAACTCTTTCAAAGGACACAAATTAACTTGCTTAAAAACTTCAAATCATATCTCAATTTAAAGCAAAATTGAATATTTTACTATAGGAAATGAGTTTTGACATATTTATGATCCACACTCTAACTTCATCCTTAAAATTATTATTACTTGTGTTCAAATTTATTCTTGGTGGTTAATAGGCTAGTCAAATTTTATTTGACTTTTAATTAAATATTTTTGTCATGTCTCCACTTATCTGAATGTTGCAGTGATTTCTACTTGTCATGAGAATGGGAAACTATATATATATATATATATATATATAGATAGATAGATATAGATAGATAGATATAGATATAGATATCTATATATATAGAAGTATATGTGTATGTGTGTGTGTGTGTGTGTGTATGTGTGTGTGTGTGTGTGTGTAATGAAACATTCAGCTTAATTTTAAGATACTGAAGTGTCCGTAAGTATTTAAGTTTATAAAGTGTGAATTTCCTCAGTATTTGAGTTTCAGGATATTAAAAATTAAAGTCTTTCTAGATCACCATTACTCTAAGAAACCTACGTTTAAAAACCTTGATAAATAAAATATTTTCTCACACTGGAAGGAGTTTTAGAGATCATCTTATTCAGCTTACTAATTACAAAAAAATTTAAAATCTAGAATAAGTCCTAACTTTTCCAAATTTAAAACATGCATTATCCTAATTGGAAATTACGTAGCCTTCTCTTCGATTTTAAGTTTTTCTATAAATTCAAAATATAATGATTGCAATTGCTAAAATTTAATTTTAAAAATATCTTTGTCCTTGTGATAGAATGTTCACCACATGCAGTTTTAACAAAGAGTACTACTTACAAGCGTAAAAAGAAAGCTGTATTAATGAATAATGCATATTTACTTATGAATTTTCCTCTAATATTTCCATTTTTAAATGGAAGTAGAGATAAGATTTACACATATATTCTTGTCTTTGAAATATTTTGCAAACCTAGGTATTAGAAGTCTCCATTTGACTTACTAAAACGTTCTCTAAGTTACAATGTATTTAGAGGAAATCATAGCTCCTTGATATCTCGGTCATCTAATTTCACTTTCTTCAGCAAGCTCTCTTTGTATTCACTACACAGAAAATAATTGAACACTTACTGTATGCTAGCACTGCTGTAGGGTCTTATAGCAGACTAAGAAAGCCTCAAGTGATGTCATGCTCAGGTGAGAATGAAAGAAAAGATGATTTTCAAGTGATTTAATTAGGAATATTTTCTTCATTTTTATATCATTGGACTCAAAGTCATTTGGAAGAAAATTATTAAAAACAGGGAGGCACTGGGACTCCAACCTGTAACTCACACTTTTAAAAGGGCAAGTCACTGAATAGTTACTTAGAGTAATTGTTTTGTCCCGCTCCCAGCCAGTACAAATTTTCTTCTGACAAGGAGAAAGAGAGAGTATGAATGAGAGACAGGAAAATCAAATTTAGGAGAGCAGGTTGATTTTGAAAAGGAATACCAAATAAGAAAATATACAACTAAATATGAGAAATTACATATCAACAAATAGTTTGCATTGATTTGCAAAAATGTGCCATAACATTAATAAAATGCAGTGCATTTTTTCTGGATATAGTATACAAATATATAAAGATGAATCTTCATCACAAAGCACTTGTAAATTTTTTATCTTTGGTATTCCTTTGTTCTCGCTATAAGGATAGCATTATTTATTGCGAAAACATTTACTGAGAAAAAAAACATTTGATACTGTTAGGTGATTACTTTTTAGACAATGAAGAACAGTTAATGTGTGTGTGCGAGTGCATGAGTGCATGTGTGTGAGCAACAAAAGTGGAAGAATTTATCACACATTTCTTAATATTCAAAACTGTAGTCTAATTGATTTGACATCTTCATGAGAAGAATAATTAAAGAAAATGCATGATTTATCACAGAGATAAAATAGGGTGATATTGTTGGACTTTTGCTGAAATTAACTAAATTCCTATACCTTACATGATATGAGGGCTAGTTCACTAAATTATGTTCATATAAAATTCGCTCAACATTTCATGATACGAAGTCCCCATTACATAAGGTTTAGCTTAATTAGTATTTCCTAAGAAAAACTGCAATACGAACTAAGTTTAGAAGTTAATATACAAAATTATTACTTAGATCACAAAGTATATTTGAAATCTATTAAGAAATATAAAAATCATAAAACCTTTACTTAGTGTTGATCACAAGTTCAAACTTAAATGAGTGTAAATAAATATTTAAAAACTATTTAATTGTATTTCAAGGCATTATTAACTAGTTTTAGATTATATATACTTCTGAAGATAACTAAACGTTACATAAGGAAGAAAAGGATATATGGTCTTAAAGTATCTTCTGATTAATAAATATTAGAATACTATGAGGAAATCTGTAGAATGTCATTGGTGCTTATTTTTCCACAAAATCTGTCTGATTTATTAAAATCGTAAAATACCTATTTAGTATCAATTATTATCACAAATATGCCATCACATAAACATAGAAAGCATGCAAGTACACTATTTCTTAGGATGTTTTAATGGAAAGTGTGATGCCATTTCTTTATAATGTTTTTCATTGAAATGATTTACCATCAATTTTATAAGTGTCTCTTATTTTTTTTACACAAACCAAGATACTAAGCTTTCATAAAATCAAAGGTAATTTTAATTTAAAAATTAATTGCAAAATCATCTGAAGGAGTTGATTCACATCTCTAAGAACCATTTCTAGTCTCCTGTCTATTTGAGCAAACATAATAGAATTAATGAAACTAATACCAACATGCAAGTAAGAAGAAATAAACAATCAGAATTTCAATCAGTAATGGGCTAGATATTACTTGTGTGACTGTTTTATAGTGTAGTCAATCTTCTCTTAATGTGCTGTAGCTATAAAAGCAATCTTTGAATGCTGTGAGTAATCAACACATTTATACTAAAAGGTTAAAAAAATAGATATGGCTTGATAATTTATCTCACCTGTACTGAAGTTGATTTTATAGGAAAAAATGCCAAGGTATGTACTCTATGCTTATCTAGAAATTTACAATTTTTATGTTTTTGAATTTTTTTCTTGTTTGAGCTACACAAAATCTGATCAGATAGCCAGGTCAGATGTAATTAATTTGATTTTTCAAAGAATTTTAGGCTCAGAACCTTGCATAACAGGACAAGCTCATGTTAGGGTCTAGTGCTCCTACTTTGTATTTCAGAGACCAAAATATCTATGGATCAAAACTAGGTTTCCAGAGTTGTTCCATTGAATTCTAAAATTCACCAGAAGTCAAAATAAATTTGAAAACTTTTTCCATGTTATTATAATGTATTTTTATTCTGAAAATCCTAAGGAAACAGATCTTTGTACATAGCTAACTCCTTAACCTTACTTATCTAAAATGTGAGGAATTGAAGGATTTTCTTGATATGTAAATTCTGATATTGAGAATTTAGGAATTTAATTGCATTTCAAATTTAAAGAAAAAAATTATTTTGACTTTGCTCTTGAAATAATTATTGCTAGTTCTAATTGTACTAAAATAAAATCAATACGAATATAATAATATATAAAAAGCAGAGAAATGGGTCACAATTAAAATTATTAGCATACTTTGAGCTCTAAGAGAAGGCACAGCATGACTCTAAATGTTTTCAATATACTGTACAGTTTTTCTCAAGCATATTCTGAAGTTATCAATTTATAATACAACTACATAAATAAAAATATAAATATAATGCATACTATTTTATAACAATGAAATTTCAGACCTCTTGGGAGAATCAATAGCTAAAATCATGACAGAAATTCAAAGAACTTACTTTTGCTGATGTTTTTCTTTTAACTTTTACATATTATTTTTCAAGCAATTGAAACCATTTTGCATAAATAGAATTAAGTGATCTTTATTCTGCGAACTACAAGCAGTGATCAGCAAGGTGGTGTGGAAATCACAAGTCAAACAGAAATATGTCTCCCAGTTGCCTGAAATTAATTCCTCAATATTCATCAGCTTTTCTCCTGAAGTAAGTAAGTAGCCTGGGAGTTTTCCTGTTTGAACGTATCCTTAAAATTTAGTTACACAAAGAATGACAAACCCAGATTGCCATCTCACATTCTCTCTGGCACAGAAGAACAAGCAAGGACAACGACATAGAGCGATAGATTTAAAGGTTATTGTCTTCCGCCTGTCTGAATCCAGTGCTTTCCTCCGCATGTTGTTGTCTTTCTAAGGAAGATAATGTCAACCTCCTTCATTTTTTTTTACCTTGCTCCACTGTCTTGGTTGTTTTCTCTTCCTTTTTGCCAGGTACAGCTGCACAGCAAAGATAAGGTTTAAATAACAGTGCCAGACATAAATACTGCTTCTGCTCAAAAAAAGCATTCTGGAATTCATTCAAAACCAAATGTTTCACCTAAAAATCTTCTTCAAAGTTTTTAAAACATTTGTCATCTCTTTATAATGCAATCGAAACCTACTTCATATCTAATATTAAAGAACTGGAGAAAAATAACCCCTTCCCTTCGTCTGAATACTTTCCCTATACTCTTTTCTATGTTATTCCTTTTTATTCTGCTTTGATAAACAAGCTCTACAAAGAATTCTACTTGATAGGACTGTGAGTAATCTACTTACATTCCAGATTATTGCTAGAGTCACCCAGTGTCTTGCAAGTATCAACTAGATGCTTCTTTAAATGTAAGCTTAACATGGCTTAATGAACTGAAAGAACAGTGTAGTCATGCCTGCAATTCATTTAAACATGAAATGAAGCCATCTCGAATCACACAAGTAACCAAAAAAGGAAAGATTTAGGTGCTATACCCCTTGAAATATGCTTTCTCTAAGATTTATTACTGTCAGTGGAGTATTCAGTGTTTACCTATTTATATATCAAAACAGTAGAAATTATTCACACAAAAGCACCCCACTGAAATAATGGATTCAAGTAAAAGTCTTCAGAGGACACAAGCAACCATTAAATGAAAGACTGATAGAACTTAATATTGCCTTTGCACCTAAGTATCACCCAACAGAGAGTTTTACAAGGGGAAGGAAATAATATTTTTAAAGGGAGAAATCCAGTCATCTCTAACAAATATTGATGAAATTCAGGAACCATTCATTCATAGCTGGACATCCAGACCTTCTGTATTGATGAGATGAAATGTGGTGTAAACAGCATCACCTCTGAAGTATTCTTGCCAAAGTAGCTAACTGGAATCCCATTAAGCCAAAGATTTGGCTTTCGGTTTAATTGCATATAGGATACAGAGAACATGTTAAATAATATTCTAAAGAAATAATCAGAATAATCAAATCTGTCTACTGACCCTGATCTTTTCAAACTTTCAATGTAATGAATGACTATAGCCAGAGTGTTCCCAACGAGAACATGAGAAACAGTCTAAAAACAGAGAATGGGACCAACTGTAGAGAGCTTCAAAAGCCAAAAAAGCACTATAGTTTACTGTGCATGCTATAAGAAGCTAGAAAGATGTAATACCTTAGTTCCTTCTATGCATGTACCTTCTTAAATTGACATGGTGATAAAGCATTAATAATTTGTATGTATAATAGAGCCACAAGGGTAAATATTCCTATTCATATTTTGTCATAGACTCATTATAAATATTATAAAACAACATGCATTTTTCAGATAGTTTGTTGTCATGTGCAAAAAACAAATGCTTCCTAGGAAACAACTGGTGGAATGGGACCAGCAGATGACTGGTGGTTATGTTACCAGACTCTCAGATGGCTAATCACAATTCGAGTCCCAGACCTGGTAACTTGAAACCCACTCCAGGACCATGTGCTTGTGTGCCCAAAATCTTGAGAGGAGAATGGGGGGGGGCGGGGAAGTGATTGTGGTATGACAATCTTTCCAGGGGGTGATTTCTCACTTTCTCTCTCTCTGTCTCTGTCTCTCTGGAGAGTGCACGTGCCCTAGAGCAAAAAAAAAACTCTCTCTAAAAAAAAAGAAAAGAAAACAACTGGAATGTCACTTATATATAAAAACCAAGTTTTCTTTTCAAAAATGGGTTTATAATTTCTTCATTAAATTGAAGAGGCTAGTTTCCTGAAGCATTGTTTTTTTCTTATTCAGAAAAGGTCAACTGAAAATGCTGATTATCTGTACAGAAAGGATGGCATTTTGCATGAACTGTTGATCCTTTCATTTGTGGTTCTAATGTGACATTCATCAAGCCTAATTCTGCAGAAAGTAAACTTTAGGAAAAAAATTATTCATCTAAGTAAGTGGATTTTCTAACTGCCTGCAATCAAAAGAAAATTTTAATCAATGTCTCTTTCTATACCACAGGGTATCTATTGCCACCTGTGGTATGGAGAAAAGAACTTTTCTCTACATTTGGACAGGTTTCAGGGGTGGAGGGAGTAGATTTCTATTGCACTCCTTCAGAGATCACAACGCAAAGCAGCTAACAGTCTTGGAATGTAATGACTAGAATAGAGCTAGTCATGAAGTCGTGAGAGAAACTGGGGGTTGGAGAAGTTGGTTTTCTATAGTTCGACTTTTGTTTCACTATTCTTCCCATGACTTTGTCTTAAGAACCCAATTTCCCATGTAATTTGCATCTCTCCTTTCTAGTCCTTCATCATTCACGAGGTCTCTGATGTAGGCCAGGAGTGGTAGGGGTTTGCACCTGTGGCTCCGATGATTACCTAGAGGTGGGGATGTTAGCATCTTGGTGAGGAAGTGAAGAGTGGAAGGAAGGTCTATGCAGCTTGACATATCCCTCACCTGACACTTACAGATTACTTTTGTGGTGCAGACTTACAGCCTTAGCATAGCTATCTATTATGCCTAACATTTAACAATGTAATGTCACCTGCCCAAGGGCTATGTAGAAGTTTTTCTTTTTTAGAGGTTTTTGTCATAGGGTGCATGTGCTTGCTAGAGAGAGACAGAGAGACAGAAAGCGAGAAATCACCCCCCAGCGGGGATGGCCATGCCTCAATCCCTTCTCCTCCATTCTCTTCCTGGGATCTTGGGCATTCACACACCTGTGCCCGGCATGATTTTCAAGACACCAGATCTGGGACTTGAACCACGGTCAGCCATATAGGAGTCCAGCAATGTAACCACTATGCCACCTGCTGACCCCACAAGGCCATCCTTCCTGCTAACAACTTCCCTAAACTTACTTCTAGTGTATCTGAAATAATGAGTAACATGGTCTTGTTGTAGCACACAAAACAGGGCATGTCTGAAGATGAAGTTGGAGAAGGATTTAGAACCCTGTTCTTTGGCAACTCTCTTCCATTAAATAAGATGGGACTTCATCTTAAGTGTAACTTGGAAAATAGTTTTAAATAAAAAGCGTTTTGTTTGTATTCGTGGCTTTGGTAGATACTATTTGGAGACTGGGAATCGGTACCTATATATTAGTGAAGTAAATATGAAGACATGAGGCCTGCAGTAAGATCGTTACAGTGATTCAGGTGGAAGGCAATGAAGTCTGGACTAAAACAAAGTGATAGTTATGAGTAAAGTAATATTCAAGCATAAATAGAATGTATTCGAGAAATATTTAGGGGATAAAATCAATAAAACTGGAAGATTCTTTGTATAATATGGTAGAAAAGAGATAAATGAAACATTATCCTAAGATTTCTAGTAAGGTGAAAGGTGGATTGTGGTTTCTCCCCCCATAACCAAAATCAAGGTGGGAAGAAGGAATGAGAAATTTTGGTTAAGACAGTTTGAATTTGAAGGTGTTTCTTGGACAGTTGTTTACTGTTAAGGTTGAAACTCTGTTCCATAAGAGAAAGATTCTCAATTTTGTCTCTATTTCAGAATTTGCTCCTGCACTTTAGATTTATATATTTCTTGTGTCACTCCCCTAAAAATTCTCTTTAGAAAATCATGCATCCATTTATATTTATATATAAAAATTGTTTAGGATTGAGGATGGGAACATCTGCATCAATCTATCATCTGTCTATCCATATCTCTATATATCATATCTCCCTATAATCCTGGTATGTTTTAATAGAGCATATGCCATCAAATTGTTTTTCAGAAGGGCATTTTAAGTAATTTTGGTGAGGCATGTGTGTAAGATTGTACGCATAGTCTTGCGTGTGTGAGTGTGTGTGTGTGTGTGCCCACGTGCATATTGAGGAAAGTCATGTCTCTTGTGATACTTCCAAAGAATGCTGCATACATTAATGATTTTATTCCAGCCTTTTCAATATGTTTCTTTTAAAGCAAAATATCCCTAAGCCAGAATCTCATAGAATACATTTCCTAACCTGATCCTGTTTTTTCCTGTAAAATAAACATTTTTAATATGATTTCTATTAGCCAAATTTTCATTTGTTTAAATTTTCATTTCCCAAGACAGCATATTGAATTTGAATGTTTTACAGACAATTGGGATCCTATTGAATTTAAACAATTACATTTCCACAACTTTTCAAAAACTAAATTGCAGTTTGACTATACTTATTAGCTTTGGTTTATGACCCTAATGAGGTAAAACAATTAGCTTTAGAATGCTAAAAACAAAGCCTTGCTGAACCTGATACTACAAATCTTGTACAAAGTGGTTTTTTTTTTCTATATCTATGAAATGGTTATCAATAGAATGAGCTCTTCTATAAGCATGAAACAGTACATTAAGTTACAAACCTTAGAAGAAACAAGTTATAGTCACGACATTCTTTCATTTATTTATTTAGTTATTTTTTAAGCTACATTTACCTTTTTTAGTTGTGGCAGGACCAGCCTCTTCTTTGGCTCGTTCACTTTCTGCAAATTCAGTATTAAAGAAATAAGAAATGGGTATTGAAGACACCAGATCAATATCTTACAGTATTGGTAAATCAGACAGGAATAAAACTAGCCAAAAGATAAGTGTATGTGGCACCTGAGAGCAAAGCATGCTATAGAAAAAACTGAAGCAGAGAGTGCTTGTATATTGTTTTTTAAACCAATGAACTTTCTTAATAATACAGATTTTCTCTTCAAAGTTCAACTTCAAGATATTAAAATTTGTATGCTTATGTATGTGCATATATATATATATATATATATATATATACAGCCATCAAAGAAGATAAATTATTTCATAGACTACAACGGGATACTATTCATATATAATATATACATTTTAGGAAAGAGAACTTGAAAGTTCTTTTTTTTTAGCCTTTAATTATGAGCATGGAAACAATACTTTATCTCAATAAACTTTAGATTATATAAGCCATAATATTAGAGAAAATTCCATTTTAAAATTGCTTCAAGAGAAAAAATGAGAAAGAGAATACAAAAGGCAAGAAAATTGTCTTCTTAGACTTTCTCTGAATAGTTAGTGTGGAAGATAAGAGAGTTGCCCTGAAGACAGAACCGAAATGCTGTCCTACTACAAAATATGGGAGCTCAAATCAAGACTATTAAAGCTGAAGTTTTCGCCAGTCCTCAGGAAAAGAAGAAAAATAGTGATGAGTTGGTAAACTTTTATAAAGCTTTATTTACTCATTTTAGAAACTTTTCATTATTTGAGATTGATGCTCTTGGTCATGTATATTTTATTTTTTATTCTCCTTGGTATTTGTGAATAAGCACCCTCCCACCCCACTCTGATCTACCCACATACACTCAGGAGCTAAGGCTCTGGGAAGCATCAGATGATAGGAGTCTTCACACTGATTGTCCTACTTCCGTCACAAGACCCTGGGCTGTGAGGAAGGTCTGAAATACTACGGAGGCCTGTACATCACATTTTGATTTCAATTCCACCATGTTGGATGGTATCACCTCGTCACAGTCTAGGCTCAGGTATGAAGTCATGTCAGTATCCTCTTCTTTGAGACCCTGAGGTCCAGGACTGAGCAGAACTCTGGCTATTTTATACCTTCCAGGTGAAGACTTTGTAGCAGTAGTTGTCAAACATTAGCATGGCTAAGAATCACACTGCAAATACCCAAAATTACAAGAAGAGAATGGAGGGGAAGGAATTGCAACATGGCCATCCCTCTGGGGAGGTGATTTCATGCTTTCTGTCTCTCTGTCTCTCTGGCAAGCATGATGCCCTATAGCTAAAACAAACAAACAAAAAAAATCACTCTCTTAAAAAATAGAATCACGCACTACAGGCTGTTAACACAGCCTGTGAGTGTCTGTTAGCACAGCCTGTGAGTGTCTGTTAACACAGCCTGTGAGTGTCTGATAACACAGCCTATGAGTGTCTCGGGCACATCCTGAGACTCTGCATTTCTTACTTCCAGGTGCTGTTGATCTGGACCACATTTTGGAAATGATCACTAAACTTCCCCTAAGGCATCAGCAAGACTAATCCTACTCTGGTTCCATCCCTGTTTACCGCAGTAACTACCACGAGTTCCAACTTCCAGCAGAAAACAGACTCCATAGGGCTCTGTATTTCTTCTCAAAATTGACCCTTTTCCAAAGTTCTTCCACTATGTGGTTCGGACTTGCACCCATATCCTCAGCTTCTTCTTATCATGTTCACCTTACTTTCTTCCTATAGGCAAACCTTAAGTCCCTGAAGACATTGTATCCTCTGTCATTAGTCCTCTAAAAGGAAGAATATTTCCCATGCTCCACTTCCTGCAGTGTCTAGAAGTGAGACTATCCTCTTTGCTTCTCATAACTTTTCACAGACTGTTGTCTCTTGCTCCCTCTAAATCCTAGTTCTTTTGAAACACATTCTATTACATTAGACCTCTCTTTATTATTATCATTAACCAACTGTGTGGCCACATTATGTCACTCATTGAATATGTTTTTGCACATATTATTCTCAGTACTATTACTGAGGGATTTTGCTAAGAACTATTCTCATCTTGGGACACACATTGGAATAGGATGGAGAGTTCAATTTTATTTTTCTTTTGTGAGATTTTTACTATAGGTAACATGCACTTGCCAGAGAGACAGAAAATGAAAAATCACACCCCCCAAAAGAAATGCCCACACCACAATCCCTTCTCCTCCAATCTCCTCTTGGGATTTTGGGTATGCATGCACATGCAACCAGCATGAGTTTGAACCTCCCCAGGTTCAGAATCCAAACTGTGGTCTGCTACGTGGAAGTCCAGCGACATAACCATTATGCCATCTGCTGGTCTGAGGTTTATTTAATTAATTTATTATTATTATTATTATTATTATTTTGTAGAGAGAGATTTTTGCTATAGGGCACATCTGCTTACCAGAGAGACAGAGAGAAACAGAAAGTGAGAAATCATCCCTCATGGGGGATGGCCACACTGCAATCCCTTCTCCTCCATTCTTCTCTCAGGATTTTGGGCATGCATGCACATGCATCTGGCATGAGTTTTAAGTTGCTGGGTCCAGGATTCGATCTGTGGTCAACTACATGGGAGTCCAACAGTGTAACCATTTCACGTTCTGCTGGTCCTGAATTTTATGTCTCTAACAGTCAGGTGTCTGGGGTAGGCACAGAGCTTTGGTATTCTGAGTAAATGAATCTTGGGTGAGTCCTCAATATTGCTATGTTTTTCTATGAGATTCTAATATTTAACCAGGGTTAGGAATTACTCAAAGCCACAGTTCATACAAACACCATTAAAGTGGTCTCTCCTTTTCTTGATCTCTCATTTCATAAAACTAGAAATCTCACTTCTCTAATCATTACATTCAGTATATCCTTGGACTTTTCCCCTTACTGTCAAAACTTTAATTCCAGGACCAGCAGTTGGCATGATGGCTATGTCGCTAGACATAGTAGTCGACTACAGGTTGAGTCCAGGACCAGGTGGCTTAAACTCACAACAGGTGCATGTGCGTGTGTGCCCAATATCCTGAGAGGAGAATGGAGGAGAAGGGATTGCAGCGTGGCCATCCCCCCTGGGGTGGGGGGGTGATTTCTCGCTTTTTGTCTCTCTGTCTCTTTCTGTCTTTCTGGCAAGCACACGGGTCCTATAGCAAAATCCTCTCAAAAACAAACAAACAAACAAACAAAAAAAATCAAAAAACCCCCTTCGATTCCCAAAATCCTATTCTTGGGCACCGTTTCTTCTCTTCTCAGCTCATTTACTCAAGAACTCTCTCCATGTAGTATCTGGTCCCATCAATACTTCTATTCCTTCAATCTCATCACTTTATCACTAATAAACATCTCATTATGCCCTTGTTTTTTTTTTCCTTACCAAGCATATATATAGATATTTATATACATAAATGTTATGCTTATGCTGAATTAGTTTCCTAGGGCTACTTTTAAGCTGGTATATAGATAAAAAGCAATAGAAATCGAGTTTAGGAGGCTAGACATTAATTAGAATTAAGGTATTGGTAGAGCTCGCCAAGCTCCTTCTGAAAGCTCCTGGGAAGAATACTTCCATGTCTGTTCCTAGCTTCTGAATAATCATAGCAAATCTTGTCATTCCTTGGTCTTTCACTGCCAACTTTTGCTTTAATGGTCATATGACTGTTCCTATTCTGTGTATGCCTATATGTCTCCAAATTTCTGTCTCCTTATAAGGACATCAGTTATCAGATTTAGGCCCCACCCTAATATAGTGTGATGTCATCTTAACCTGATTATACTTGGAAAATCTATTTCAAAATAAGGTTGTAACACTACTAGGTTGGGACTGCAATATATCTTTTGGAGATACACAATTCAAGTTATACAACTTGATGCCTGCCACCTGAGCAACCATCCAAACTGGAGGGATGATTTTTTTTTCCCTCTCATGCTTGTTCTCTGTGTCTTTAGTGAACACATGAGCCCTAAGTAAAAACTTAAAAAGAAAGAAAATACTGGTTCTTTGAAGTATTCATTGAAAAAGGGAGGGTGATGTGGTCAATTCTATTTGGTAAACAGTATGTACTACATGGAATCTTGAAGCTTTACCATGAACAATGTTAAAGATTGGAAATGCCCTGGGGCCAGCAGGTGGCCTGGTGGTTAGGGGTGCTGGACTCCTACATGGCCTGGCCAAATTTAAATAAATAAATAAATAAAATAAAGTTAAAAAAAAAAAAGATTGGAAATGTCCTATGATCTGGACATCTACTCATCTGATCCTTTTCCTGTTTAGGGATGACTGATCATATTGTCAGCCTCTATGTGACTTTTCCACATGTGGAGAGGCACATTTAAGAGATGGCAAGGAGGGAAATTGGGTATGTTGAGGCATTTTTGCTTGCACTTTGATAGAAAAAGGAATCTGTGTTGACTTACGGAAATCATAAATATAGGTTTGGTATCCCTGCCTGGTTCAAGGCATTTTTTATTTATATCAACTCTGACATATAATTTTTTCCTAGATGAAGCCATTAAGTGCTTCTCGTAAGTACTGCTTCATTGAACCTGAATGGCTTTCTTTTCCTTCAAGCTCATGGTACCATGAGTACCTCCACCCTGAATAGACATGGCTCCCAAGCTCGTCCGTGTCTTCCTGTATTGTTCCTACAGTGATTTGGGTTGTTTCTTCAGGACATAGAACATACAGTTCCGTATCACTAACTCAACCCAATTCTGAGTTATTTCCTTTAATCCAGTGTTAATGATAAATCACCTTTTACTTTTTACGAGTATTTACTGTAACCCTGTCAAGATTACCTATCCTTTTAAATTCTATGCCATGAAATTGCATCACATAAATATTTAATTCATGTTAATTAAACTATATATCTCATTCTCTCTTGTGCTTTCATAATTCAAATCATAAGGTAAAATCATATCCCAAATGTGCAGGTTCTTTTTTTTTTTTTTTTTGAGAGGTTTTTGCTATAGGGCGCGTGCACTCGCCAGACAGGCAGAGAGAGACCGAGAGACAGAAAGCGAGAAATCATCCGCCAGAGGGGATGGTCACGCTGCAATCCCTTCTCCTCCATTCTCCTCTCAGGGTCTTGGGCACGCACGCACATGCGCCTGGCGTGACTTTTAAGCCAATGTGTCCAGGATGCGAACCGCAGTCGACTACATGGGAATCCAGCGACATAGACATTGCACTAACTGCTGGTCCCCCAAGTGTGCAGGTTCTATAAACAAAATTAGGTGTTCCAGCTTGTATGGATGATTTAGATTTTTCGAGTGTATTTTTTGTAATGATATACAACTTCTGCCTTAAGCATTAACTTTACAAACAGTTCACTGTCTGAAAATAGTATTGTATGGCTTCAATGCCTAAAATAGCTATTAGTTGATTAAATAACTGGTCATATTGTTATTAGACAATTTAAACAGTTTGTAAACTATCTCTAATTATTTTTTGTGTTGAAGGATAATGCCCATGTCAAGTTTGAATCTCTCCACCATATATAGAGTTGAATATTAAGTCTTTCGAAACGTTTACATTGGGTTTGAAAGATGACCGAGTAGCCTAATTTGTTAATTTCCCAGCAAAAGATGCTGATCTCCTCAAAAACTGATCAAATAGTATGTTTCAAAGATGACAGAACTTACAGATTTTTTTATTGCAAATGATTATTTTTATCTATATGTTACATTTTCAAGGGCAAATGTTTATTTTCAGAGTAATTTTCAATCTAAAGTTCTCTACCACTGCTGCAAAATTACATTTTGTTTTACATTTTCCTGATTATGCATTCCTATAGTCTAAGTATTGGCATACTAAAGGCACCATAATATAGAGTTGTAATCAGTTTTACATTTAACTAAAACTTTTCATGGAAATATAAATGGGGGACCAGCAGTTAGCATAATGGCTATGTTGCTGGACTCCCATGCAGTCAACTGTGGTTCTAGTCCCAGATCCAGTGGCTTAAACTCACTCCAGGCACATGTGTGTGTGTGCCCAAGATCTTGAGAGGAGAATGAAGGAGAAGGGATTGTGGCATGGCCATCTCCCCTGGGGGGTGATTTCTCACTTTCTGTCTCTCTGTCTCTCTGTCTTTCTGGTGAGCACACACGCCCTATACCAAAAAACTCTCAAAAAAAAAAAAACAGGAAATATAAATGGAATTTTAGATTCATGTTAAAATTCTTTTAAAAATTATCATCTATATGAACACTTCCAACTTTAATTAAAAACAAATTCCACGAAGCTGCTCAATGTATATACTCAATATATTTTTAATTATTCCATAATATATCCACCAATGATATACTGTCACAAAATTCTGCCCTAAATAAAATATATATTTGTTTTCTTCAACACTTTTGTGCTTCTAACCCAAAAGAAAAGTGTAAATACATTTGCATTATACATGGAACTGAGGTTTGATTCTAACTCCTATATGTAAAGCAAAGATGAGTTAAAAGTATTTTTTTCTAAAATCACATACTTACTATTCTGCTTTACATAATCTTTATTAACAACAAGTAAGTCATTAATTTAAAAAATACTAACAAAGAAATAAGTATTTCTCCCTAAGTATATTATCAAAGCCACACAAATGCCATGGTATGACTGCAATATTGACTGTCCATCAATATTTCATAATCTGAGACCTTAAATCTTGAAAGGAAATGAGAACATTACCAGAGTAGTACTTAACAAAATTTGGGGAGAGGGGGTCCTCTTCTTTCATTAGAGAAAAGACTTTCATGGTAGACCAATTATGCTATCTACACATCTGATCAACTGATTATTAATAAGTATGATATGTTCAAGAAACTGAAGAGATAACTTATCATTACGCAAAATGGGAAAAAAATATAAGCAAATCTAAAGGTAGTTACGATGTGAACAAATTAACATTTTCGAAGGAAAGCTCTATCAATAAATTTTAGTAAGAACGAGTTCACAGAAAAGACAAGAGGTAAGTCATTTTGCATATTATTTCAATACAACAAATAATCATGCCAAGGAACATTTGGAAAACCAGCCTCAAAATTAGCATTAGTATTGTCTACAGCAACAAAAAAAAAATCAAATAAGCCGTTTTTAAAAAGTTTTGTTCAACATACTTGCTTTTACTTGTTTTTCATTTGCAGCTGTTAATGGCAAGAAATAATAAAGTCTACATAAATTATGAGTCTATTCATCTATTTCTAAAATAATGTTAAGATAATTTTAGTTATTTTAGAGACTATGTATGACCCTGGAAACTAAAAACAATAGACCTGAGAATAAGAAAATACAACACTGTGCCAATTTATTTGATAAACCCAAGTTATGTATATCCCTTGAACCACAGTATTTTTGTTTTGGGGGATTTTTTTGGTTTGATTATATACACCTTTTCCCAACAGAGATTGCTCATTTGTTTTGTTTTCTTTTTTATTATCTAATGATCCAATTATGTACATATACAGGAAAACACATTTACCTTAAAGCTGATAAAATGACATAAAAAAAGAATCCACTTGAAAAATTATCCAATTGTTTTAATTTACAAAATACATCTAATTTTTTAAGTGGCTACACTGTAATCACACCCTGAAATAGGTACTCATTCAAGGTATTTAAATTACTGTATTTTATCAGGTTTGCTATTTGATAGTATATTTAGCTATTAAAATGCTTCAAACGGATTACACTAACAGACATTGCGTATATCTGTCCATGTGTCTATGGTGTATGCTCTATAAATGCATAAATGAGAGTATGTACTATGGCCACCTATGGACATGCACTCCTGAACACATAGAGTTTTCTTTGTAGATAACATATCCCTTTCCAGAGGCTAACTAGCATGACTGATAATGTAAAATGGTGAAATGTGAGATAATCTCCTCTTCTAAATTTGTAATTCATTCCGTTTTAATTTTTTTAAATGCAGAAGAGGGGAGATTCAAGGAGAAAAAAAAAACACTCAATGGACAAAAAAGTAGATAACGATCTGTCAAGGACAATGAGTATGATAATGTCTTTGGACTCATATACACGGTATTCATGCTGGAAAAAATTCATTTCCGATGTTGTAAAGATATACGGTGATTAGATTTAAAAATAAGAAAAAAGTACTAGAAAATGTCATTATTCTTTTTGGTGTTTCTCCTTTCACCCAACAAACCATTATCGATTGCCCAATGTGTTTCTGTGTTATAGTAGGCGCCCTGGAAATAAAGAGATAATAAAATAACCTCTATGCTGCATTTCTATTTTGAGGGGGGGGAAGAAAAGAGGTAACATGATTATAATAGTGTATTAATTGCTATTATCAAGGCAAGAAAATGATGATATGGGAAATAATTATGACACCTAAACAGACTTTCATTGCGTATGGAAATTTTACGAAGGAAAGGGAATAAGAAATGTTGGTTCAAACCTACAGTTTGCTGTGTTTTATTATGGGGTGGAACCATAGGTTGTATTTGCACTGTTGTTGACATAAATGCTACTTCATTTAAATACAATAAAATGGGAGGAATGAGTAATGGGAATCGTATGAGACTATGCCACCTACACACACACACACACACACACACACACACTTCAGAGGAAAACTCAGTGATGCTCTGAGGAGGAGTTAGCCAGCCAAAACCAACATTGGTGGTGTTTTAAAATGAGGTTAATAGAAAAAGTTTTAAAAGTTCTCATTTGAAATGACAGTGCAGATTAAATACTGGAAAACTTTAAAAAATAATTTGATGACCTTACCCAATGCACTTTTACTTTTTGCTGATTGTTTCATTCATTAGTTGATTCTCAATTTGTTTTTTATGTTGCCTTTTTTTTGGTAGAGGTTTTTGTTATAAGGCATGTGCACTCACCAGGAAGAAAGAGAGAGACAGAGAAACAGAAAGCAAGAAATCCACCCCCGGGTGGGGGGGAGGAGGGATGGCCATGCTGCAATCCCATTTCCTCCATTCTCCTCTTGGGATCTTGGGCAAGCATGCACAAGCGACTGGCATGAGTTTAAGTCACCGGGTCCATGACGCGAACCACAGTCGACTACATGGAAGTCCAGCGACATAGCTGTTACTCCAACTGCTGGTCCCCTCAATTTGTTTTTTATTTGTTTGCTTTTGTTAGAATATACATTTATGGAGGACAAAAATCTATCTTTACTCTTGCTGCTACTGCCAGAGCCCTCAAGAAATGTTATTGAGTAAAAACTCTTCCCCCCAAAAGAAAGTAATGTTACAAATGGGAAGAAAATATTTTTTAGAACTCAATAGTCTCTTTCGAAAGTAAAGCAATACTTCCAAGATGCACTTACAGAACATTTTCATTCTTGTTTTGTTTATTTTCATCTTAAGAAAAAACTGTGAAACACTACCCAGATGAGTCCACTGCGGATCTTGAGAAGTTGCAGACTTGAGTTCAGCAAGTCTGGGCTCGCACTGGAGATGCTGCAGTTCTAACAGTCGCCCAGGTGATACTGATGTTAGTTCATAGAATACCATCGAGCAGCAGGGACGTAACATATTATTTGGCTTTCATTTCCTACAGCTGTGTTTATATTAGGTCTATGTCAAGAACTTGAGAAAAGAGTTGTGAAGTGGAGGATTGCCACTTCTCTATTGCCATTTCCTTTCTGAACTCTCTGAGGCTACAGCATGAATTAACATTGGCTATCAGGCAGAAGGAGTCCAGCTACACCCCTCTTACTTACCTGAATGTTCCTTCTTTGGCGACTTTGCTGTATCAAACAAGAAAAGAAACAAAAAGCATTCTATGTCATTCCGTTATAATTCAGTATTCACTCACAAATGAAAAAATATGAAATTAAAATGACAAGGGTAGAGGAATTCAAAAAGTTACCTGGTTCTACATGTTTTTCTTTCCTTTCCTGTTCTGAAACACATTTTTATGTTGTTATTATCATTGTGATTACTATTATCCCAACTTCATGTGTCACAAATTAATTTTGTTAACGAAAGGAACATGCATGTGCAGATGCTGAGGTGCAGCAACGAATAATAACTGCCATGAAAAGGGAGTATAGTTACAGTAATTCTTCCCATTCCCTTGAGAGTTTTCTCATAGTACAACACCAAACGAGAAACTCAAATCTTTCATGGATAATAATCGGTAAAATAAAAGAGTCTCTAAAAAGTAGAAAATGTCATTTGTTTTATTTTTTATTTTTTTGGGAGATTTTGGTTATTAGGGAGCGTGCACTCGCTCTAGAGACAGAGACAGAAAGCAGGAAACCACCCCCCACCCCAGAAGTGATGGCCACACCACCATCCCTTCTCCTCTATTCTTCTCTCAGATTTTAGGCATGCCTGCATACACGCCCAGCATGAGTTTCAAGTCTCCAGGTCTGGGACTCAAATGGCAGTCAACCACGTGTGAAGCCAGTGCCTCAACCTGAACCCAAGAAGAAAATATCTTAATTTGCTATCATATTAGATAAGTATGAAGTGAATTTGGAATAAAAAATAAATATGAATGATAATTATTGCAGCTATTAAAAAACTAGACAAAACAAAAACCTCAGAAGGATGAAGACAGACAGCTTTCCTATGAGCTTCCTCTTCAAAACATCTTATCTCCCAGAGGAAGGAGATTTAAAACCATAAAATAGACGAGGGCATTCACAGATATGCAAAACACACTTGCTTTATTTTTAGGAAAATGTTCCTTATGGGGTCTTATAAGGGAACCAGCAGATGGCGTAATGTTTACATCACTGGACTCACACATAGTTGACCACAGTTTGAGTCCCAGATCCAGTGGCTTAAACTCACGCTGGGCACGTGTGCCTGCATGCCCAAGATCCGGAGAGGAAAATGGAGGAGAAGGGATTGTAGCGTGGCCGTTCCCCCCCAGGGGGTTATTTCTCGCTTTCTGTCTCTCTCTGTCTTTCTGGCGAGTGCATACACCGTATAGCAAAAACCTCTCCCCCACAAAAAAGATAGTATTTCATTTTAAGAAGCCACTTTTGTCAGTATTACTTGAAACAAAGCATATTTCTGGCTTCAAGATTCAACTGATATTTACATTTTAATACGTACCAATTTTATATGACGTGTAAGTTCTATTTTTATGTGAAATGCTATTACCTATATTCCTATTATTTACTTTGCTTTGACAAACTTATCAATTTAATTTAAAAGATTTTCAAGAAATGCTTTAACATAGATCTATTACTATCTGCTATTTTAAAGGGAAAGAATGGGGAAATTTCTTAGTTTCATTTAACGAATAGATTTTCTTTCTTTCTTTCTTTTTTTTTCTTTTCTTTTTTTTTGGGGGGGGTGAGAGGTTTTTGCTATAGGGCACGTGCGCTCGCCAGACAGATTGAGAGAGACAGAGAGACAGAAAGTGAGAAATCACCCCTCGGGGGGATGGCCACACTGCAATCCCTTCTCCATTCTTCTCTCGGGATCTTGGGCACACACGCACATGCACCCAGCATGAGTTTTAAGTCACCGGGTCTGTGACATGAACTGCAGTCGACTACGTGGGAGTCCAGTGACATAGTCATTACAGTAACTCCTGGTCCCTTACTGAATAGATTTTGAGAACTCAAGGATAAACAGAAAGAATTCTATGCACTGTATTTTAGAAACAGAATCATAGAATCCTTTATGGTTACCATATCGATCTCTCAAGTATACAGTTTCATTTGGCAGGCTAATCACAGTAATAATGAGCAGATCATCCATTTCCTAGATAGTGGTCAGTCAGTTATACAAATACGACAAATGACTAGACCAAGTGTTGTAGGTCAAAAAAAAAGAAGCTTAGGGAACCAGCAGTTAGCGTAACGGCTATGTCGCTGGACTCCCACATAGTCGACCACGGTTCGCGTTCCGGACCCGGTGGCTTAAAACTCACGCCAGGCGCGTGTGCATGCGTGCCCAAGATCCCGAGAGGAGAATAGAGGAGAAGGGTTTGCGGTGTGACCATCCCCTCTGGGGGGTGATTTCTCGCTTTCTGTCTCTATGTCTCTCTCTGTCTGGCGAGCACACGCGCCCTATAGCAAAAAATATCTCACAAAAAAAAAAAAAAAGAAGCTTAGATAAATTAGCTAAAATTAAACATAGTAAGAACATTACCAAATGTAGCCTGGAAAACAAGAAGTAAGGAAATGTACTGCTGAACTGAAGATCCAATTATAAAACATTTTTATGAAATTTATGAAGTGTGGGGCCAGCAGGTAAGATAGTTGTTAAGGCACTGGAAACCCACATTGCCAACTTTGGTGTGAATCCCAGCATGAAAATCACAGTGGACGCTTGTGTAGGCATGCCTAAAATCACAGGAGGAGAATGGAAGACAAGAGCTTGCTGCATAGCCATCTCCCCATGCTCTGTGTGTGTGTGTCTCTCCCTCTCTGGGAAGCACAGACACCCTATGCCAAAAACCTTTAAACAATAAATTTATAAAGTGAAAAAAAAATACTGGAAGAAGATTAAGTACACATTGCAATCAAACACCAGCTTTCATATTCAAAGTTAAAATAAAATACTTCCAATCTGTCACAAAGCCATCATATAAGCAGAAAGATACCTACGCTAATTTGGAATGATATGTAAAAAAAGGTTCTCAAGAGTTTTCATTACATAGATAATTTAGGATGTAATTATTAAATTATCTAAATAAATATAAATTAATTTACCTTTTAATCCTACAGAGATTGGAAAATATGCCCATGATCATTTTTTAAAAGTTTTTTCTTTCCATTGTCAAAAAACACATAGATCACAGGAATTTGTAATATTTATAGAAAGATCCATGTAGTTTTCAGCTTGTTTCCCTACCATGATTGATTTTTAAACTGAAAAAAGAATAATCTCTTAGATTGTGATCTTTAAAAAAGAAACAGGACCAGCAAATGGACTCCCACATAATCAACTATGGTTTGAGTCTGGAGCCAGTAACTTCAAACTCTTGCCAGGTACATGTGCATATGTGCCCAAAATTCCAAAAACAGGATGGAGGAGAAGGGATTACAGTGTGGACATTCCTCCAGGGGGTGACTTTTCACTTTCTGTCTCTCTATATCTCTCTGTCTCTCTGGTAAGCATAGACATTCTATAGCAAAAATTTCTCTTAAAAAATAGAAGTAAAATAAAATATAGATAAGTTTGGAATGAATATAAAGAGAAGCAATCTTGAATACAAAATATTCCAAATCAAACAAATTCAGAATCAACAATAACAATAGTAAAGCAAGTCTAGATGATAAACCACACAAACAAGTTAATGAAAGCAAACCAAAAAAGAAAAAAGAAAAAAAACCAAAACTCTATGGTTGTTTTGAAGAGAGGTTATTTATTTTTTTTATTTTATTTTTTTCCTCCATATCTGCCCAAATCACCATCTACAGACCTACTCAAAGACAAAAGCACTTGGATTGTACAAGAATGGCTGGAAAGGCATGTTTATTTATTAAATGTATCAGTGCACTAAAGATTGCCAAAGAGTTGCAGTGTGTCTGCAGGAACATTTAAATCGTATAGAGTGCAATAAAGTGAGGGCTTTGATATTGTGTGTGTGTGTGTGTGTGTGTGTGTAATTCAATACCACTTTTCAAATCTCCAGTTGCAATCTATCTTCTTGCTGGTGTGGTGGTTTATGGAGTGGTTTCTGTATCCCTGTGCCAGCAGCTAAACACACACATAAATCTGGGACTGAATGAACACATACTTCTCTATAGATAGATTGCTCCCCCTGGCTGGGTTGTGAGATAATTTCATGATTCTCTCCACAGGACATTCTAGAGCCTTTTCAAGACAGAATATTTCAATACTCCTCTTTTTTGCAGGGTTAAAACATAGACAAATATTTTTCTTAACTTGATGTATATTTTTAAACATGATTTTAATACAACTGGGGTCTTAAATCCCTACATTCTTGAAAATATGCTGATTTCTAATGGCTAATTGAGGAGAGTTAAGTTGGTTTTCTGTTTTCATTTGTTAAATGTACTTTCTATTTTCTTCCAGGGAGAGTATATATTTGCAAAAGACACATCCTCAAGATGCTGAGCTTTACTGCATGGTTAGCAAAGGGCTTTAATAGTGTGTTAAAGTAGCAGTGGACTATCCTAAAATATGGATCCCAGACAACACTATCTACCACAGAGAGCTCAGAGTACCTATAGAGAGAAATAATATAACAGATAATATATCATGTGCACATAACAAATTATTTATGGACTACGGGAAGAAAGATTATAGCAAAGAAGATGTAAAACTAGTCTAGAAAAGAACTTCTGTTGTTTTTTTTTAAGGACCAAGAACTAATCAGATTACATGGACTAAATTTACACAAACATAAAACAGTTTGGGTTAATGGAATACAGTTGCATTTTTTGTTACAAAACTGTGGATTATATTGTGAGATGCTCACATGAGTCTGAATAATGATTGCTATGCAATTCAGTCAACTGTGACTTTCCAGGTTGTATACTCTTTCATTCTGACAAAATCAATCAATCAATCAATCAATCAAATAAAAACAACAAACAGAATTCGCATGCAAAAACAAAATGGAGATTCAAAATTTAGCATGCCAATACAAAGTAGTAAGGAGAAAAAAATGTACACAAATATACTTTCCATGCATTTTCTTACTTTTCCCTTTGGGTTGTTCTGTTAACAGAAATATAGACAGGAAAGCATTGGTCTTAAAAACTTTAAAATTTACTACCCAGGGGCCAACAGGTGGCATGGTGGTTAAGGTGCTTGACTCCTACATGGCCTACCATGATTCGAGGCCCAGACCTAGAGGCTTTGAAAAAAC